ATAGGGAAATTACAAATTTAAAATATATGAAGAAATTGTTGTAGCCATGAGAATACTGAGACATGATAACTAAATGTAATGTGGGATCCTGGATGGCATCCTGGAACAGAAAAAGGAAGTAGGTTAAAAACATAGGAAATCTGAATAAAGCGTGGACTTTAGCTAATAATAATGTGTCAACACTGGATCATTAATTTTGGCAAATGTAGTAATGAAGCAAGTTAGTAATAAAGGAGATAGGTATGGGATATATATGGGAACTCTGTACTATCTTTGTAACATTTCTATAAATCTAAAACTTCTAAAAGAGAGAGAGAGAGAGAGAGAGAGAGAGAGAGAGAGAGAGAGAGAGAGAAAGTAAAATAAAGGAATGGCACAAGACCACTGTTTTCTCTCCTGTTTCTTTGTTTTGTCCTACTTTAGTGGCCTCTCCCTCTTAATCTCATTTTGAATTTCCCTCCTTTGTTTAACCTGTAAATATTGAACATTCCAGAGCTCAATTCTGTCCCTTTTGTCCCTCTACATATTTTCACTTTCTTCTTGGTGACCTCTTCTAAACTCATGGTTTTAAATATCATTTATATGTCAAAGAGTCATAAATGTATATCTCCTCTCAACCTCTCCTCAGAACTCCTTTTATATCCAACTGCCTACTTAACAACTTTCCATAATTGCTCACTAGGCTTCTCAAATGGAGATCTTTACTCCACATTTCAAAGCTACTCTTCCCCTAGTATCTCTTGTTATCTCAATATCTGTCAACATCTAGTCACTCAGGACAAAAAAGGTGGAAGTTATCCTTGATTTATGTTCTTTAATTCCCTCATTCAACTCATCAGCTAGTCCTATTCACTCTTCTCCTGAAATATACAGAGAAATAAAATATGTGTATATTTTATGCAATATATATATATATATGGGGTCCATCTACTTCTATTTTCACCAACACTGTGCTAGTTGAAGCCACCATCATCATTCTTCTGAACTACTACCTAAATCATCAGGCCTCATCTTGACCCTTTCTCCTCATACATCCACTATGGTTCACCCATAATGGCCACATTTATGTTTCTGGGAAAAGCCACTCCTGCCTGCCTTCTTCGGATATTTTAATCCACCTGAAATACTACAGCTGCTGACTTTCTTGAGGTCAGATCTTCTTTGTCATTTAAATTTCAGATTGAGTGTCAAAAATCTGAAAATGCATCACTGTTACACAGTCTAATGTGTCTTTCAAGTCATTCTCTATTACCTCAACTTATTTAATTATACTGCAAAATATGTTTCTCTATCTAATATTTTTTTTATTATTGTTATTATTATGATTTAGTCATTGCTATGATCTAAATGATTAGATCAATTCCAGGAATACAAAGCCTAAACAACCTACTACTTCGTGTTTTTTTTTAATTTAATTTTATTAATTTATTTTATACAGCAGGTTCTTACTAGTTATTTATTTTATACATGTTAGTGTATATGTGTCAATCCCAATCTCCCAATTCATCCCACCACCACCACCACCACCACCACCACTTTCCCCCCTTGGTGTCCATACGTTTGTTCTGTACATCTGTGTTTCTACTTCTGCCTTGCAAATCGTTCATATACAATATTTGTTTATCTCTTTCTGACTTACTTCACTCTGTGTGACAGTCTCTAGGTCCATCCACATCTCTACAAATGACCCAGTTTCGTTCCTTTTTATGTCTGAGTAGTATTCCAATGTATATATGTACCACATCTTCTTTATCCATTGATCTGTCGATGAGCATTTAGGTCGCTTCCATGACCTTCCTATTGTAAATAGTGCTACAATAAGCATTGGGGTGCATGTGTCTTTTTGAATTATGGTTTTCTTGGGTATATGCCCAGTAGTGAGATTTCTGGGTCATATGGTAATTCTATTTTTCGTTTTGTAAGGAACATTCATACTGTTCTCCATAGTGGCTGTATCAATTTACATTCCCACCAACAGTGTAAGAGGGTTCCCTTTTCTCCACACCCTCTCCAGGATTTGTTGTTTGTAGATTTTCTGATGATGCCCATTCTAACCGGTGTGAGGTGATACCTCATTGCTGTTTATACATTTTGGAGATTAATACTTTGTCCATTGATTCATTTGCAAATATTTTTTCTCATCTGAGGGTTGTATTTTCATTTTGTTTATAGTTTCCTTTGCTGTGCAAAAGCTTTTAAGTTTCATTAGGTCCCATTTGTTTATTTTTGTTTTTATTTCCATTACTCTAGGAGATGGCTCAAAAAAGATCTTGCTGTAATTTATGTCAAAGGGTGTTCTTCCTATGTTTTCCTCAAAGAGTTTTATAATGTCCAGTCTTATATTTAGGTCTTTAATAGGTCTTTAATCCATTTTTTAAAAAAACATCTTTATTGGAATATAATTGCTTTACATTGTTGTGTTAGTTTCTGCTGTATAACAAAGTGGATCAGCTATAGTGTACATATTTCCCCATATCATCTCCCTCTTGCATCTCCCTCTCACCCTCCATATCTCAGCACTCTAGGTGGTCACAAAGCCCTGAGCTGGTCTCCGTGTACTATGCAGCTGCTTCCCACTAGCTATCTATTTTACATTTGGTGATGTATATATATCAGTGTCACTTTCTCACTTCATCCCAGCTTGCTATTCCCCATCCCCGTGTCCTCAAGTCCATTCTCTGTGTCTGCGTCTTTATTCCTGTCCTGCCCCTAGGATCTTTTGAAACAGTTTATTTTTTTAAAGATTCCATACATATGTGTTAGCATACGGTATTTGTTTTTCTCTTTCTGACTTACTTCACTCTGTATGACAGACTCTAGGTCCCTCCACCTCACTACAAGTTACTCAATTTCATTTCTTTTTATGGTGAGTAGTATTCCATTGTATATATGTGCCTCTTATTCTTTATCCATTCTTTTGTCAATGGACACTTAGATTGCTTCCATTTCCTGGCTATTGTAAATAGTGCTGCAATGAACATTGTGATACATGACTCTTTTGCATTATTGTTTTCTCAGGGTTTATTCTTCTTATAGCTTAATTCAGGTTTTTTTTTTTTTTTTTTTTTTTTTGCTTTTTTGTGTCTCCTTCCAGTAGAATGTAAGTTCTTGGAAAATAGCAACTTTGTATTCTTGATTCTTAGAACACTACCTGACAATCACAGGACCTCAATAAACGTTTCAAGTGACAAATAATCAATGGACAGTAAAGTCCTGAAATTTAGGGAGAGGAGGGGCTACAGTGGAGGTAGAATTATAGGAGAAATTTACTTAAAGGAGTGAGAACTTGTAAGGCTTTGAGAATTGAGTAAGACTAGTCAATAAGTAGATAAAGATGGAATTCCAGAAAAAAAAAAAAAAGAGTAGAACAAAGGTGTGGAGAGAACAATAAACATGGTTTCCTTGGGAAAAGTAGGTGAACAGAAATTTTATGAAGATTATGACATCAGAATTTGTGGCAAATCCAAATTGCAGAGATTCTTGGAATCAGCAATGTTAGTAACTTTCCTTCCGTTGATTTTCAGCTCCAGCTACCGTTGAGCCTTTTAACCATGATCTCATTCTAAGTCTTTTGAATGAAAGTAATATATTCTGCTCCATCACCATTTTTTTCTTTCTTTATTTCCCAATGCAAATTTTGATGTCCGCTTGCTTGGGTCTGGCCCAGTGTGTAAGGTGACTCTAGGTTATACCCGTCTTCTGTGGTTGGAACTGCTACAACAACAAAAAGGAGTATAAAATTGAAATAGTTTTTCCTTACTATCAAAAGAAGGGCCTTTGCTATGTGTATTTCATCATCTGACAGTGATGAGAGCATTTATTGTCAACACAATTTTTTTTATTAGACAGCTGGATCTTTCCCATGTGCTGGTTGCACATCAAGTAAGGAAATCCAAATCCACAGACAAAGAGAAGCAGAGAACACAGTGGAAACTAAGGCTGCTTTCTGTTCACCCGTTTGTTCTGAGAAATTCTTAGTCAGCTCTCCACCCACTGGAAATGAGATGTAAACAATAACAAGATGATTATTGACGATCTGGCTGGGAGACGTTAAAATGGAAATGCAGTACTTATCTTGGTGCTCTAGCTCAGATAAACTACTGTAGTAGTATAGCAGAACTTTAAATGAGGTACCTTTTAAATGTGCTGCCCTGTCTTTCCAAATTGCCAAGCAGTAGGTAGCCAGACTGGGAATTTGAAAACATATTATGTAAAATGTCTTTATTTTCTTCAATTCTAGCCTGTATTCAGTTCTAGACTATATTTTGTAATTGATGGGCATCAAGTGGGCCCTGCTTAGGATGACTGATTTTTGCAGGGTGAATCTGGATCATTCACAATGCATGTTAAAGAAAGCTAATGAAAACTCTACAGTTCCATCATTATAATAGACTTGATTCAGACGGTCTAATTATCTTGCTGCCTGCTAAAATCTTAAATAATTCCACATCTGAATGGATGGGGTAGCTGAAGAAACAATGATTGGAGATGAAGAGAGAACAAAAAGTTTTGCCACTCTCTTCATGGAACAGAGGCTTTCAGTGATACTTTTGTCAGTTGCAGTACTCAACTATCCAGGGGCTTCTTTTTCCTTCTTCCTTTTAAATGATGTTTCTTGAATTGATGCTTCAGTCAGACTGATAGGTATTCCTTATATGGATGTGTATGTGTATATGTGTGTAGGGAGAGGTAAAGAAAAGAGGTGAGATAGAGGTAGAGATAAGTGACAGGGCAATTCAAATAGGTTTAAATACATACTTACTATTTCTCATCAGTAGAAATATCCTGAGTATTTTTTATAAAACTTTATGACAGTATATTTACAGGTTAATAATCAATTTGAAAATAATGAGGTGGTAGGCTGCTGTTACAGTTTGTAGTATGACTTATGGGTAGAAAAGAATTATTTTATGTGTAGTCAGTCTTCTTTCTCGGACAACATGGACACAGTACTTCTCTGCTTTCATCTTAGTCTGTTTTCTCTTTTGTTTTTGCTTTAGCTCAACAGAATTCACCAAAAATCCATGAAGGCTGGTGGGCATACAAGGAGGTGGTCCAGGGAAGCTTTGTCCCAGGTAAATGCACATTTATTACTTTATTTTTAAGAAAATAATTTGAGTGAAATGTAGTATTATTTCCAGAATTTTGCATTTGCTACATGGCGTGGAATGTATTGCAAAAGGCACCATAGTCTGACTTATGTGTTAGATGAATCTTCCATCAAGAGAAAGTTTATTAAATGAGTGGTAATTTAACCAAGCTACGTTTTTTCCATCTGAACTTACATCTTAATGTCCTTCCATCTACAGGTGGCTGTGTCAGGGAGAGGGCAATGCAAGAGTCGGGGTTGAGGTTCTGTATGCTAAAATTTGGTTAAGAAAGAGTGATTTTGTAATGTTAATGAAACAGGAAGTCTGAAAACTAGCAATGAGGCTTGCTGGGATGCACGCCGTCTCTGATGTCACTTCAGTAGCATTCACGGTCAAGACTTAGCAGATTGAGCCAAATACCAGGTAAAAAAAATCATAGGTAAAGTGGATGTTTTCAGCATGGGAGGAGAGAACTGAAGACAGGTTAAAGCCAGAAATATACCATAACATTAGTTTTGAGACAAGGTGGAGTGTCATTGTCTTCCCCCACTACACTTATCCTAATTATAGTCCTCAGTCTTCTGCTGCTTCAAGATTGTATGGAAAGAGGAAAGAGAAAGAGCATGAATGTTAAAGAGAAGAATGGAAGGGAAGGCAAGTGAGATATTTCAAAGTATTTTTAACTGCTTATATGTGAGAGGCTAAGAGATAAAGCTCTCAAAAGGAATCAATGTGGGGTTCCAAATCAGGCAATGAAAACAGAGGTCAAGTGTTGTAGTTAGTGGCAGGTGGGGAGAGCGGTGCCCCCAGGCCACCTGGTTCATTCTTGGATGCTATGTCTTCTTTTCCTGTTCTTCTGTATAGTTCATTATATCAGCTGTGCAGAACTAAGCAAGTTGCTAACTCCTCTGAGCATCACTTTTTCATTTGTATTGTGGGACATAAATACGTACCTTTGAAGCTTTTCAATAAGAGGAAAGCAGGCATGGTGAGAGAGAGTGAATGACCCAGGGAAAAGCCAGTTGACTGCCGAATAGTTTCATAAATTGGTATTATTAACTTGATAAATTTACTATGATACATTTATTTCTTGGCCCAGTGGGCATAGAAACTGGGCTTGATTAATTCACCCAGATATTATCAAGTTTCTAATAATATTCTTGTAATAATTTAATTGACACAGATGTGTTCATATGGCATGATATAGATATATGATATTTTATACTTACAATTGGGGGCATCCCTTTCCAATCAATAGAAGGTTGTGTATTTTTTTCTGAGGAATCTTCTTCTCATATTCAAGACATCCCAGAAATTATATTTATAATAATATTTTTATGCTTTGTGATTATTAAATTAGAGCAACAAAGGGCATTCTACCAGATTATAAATCTTGCTAAACTAGTAATATTCTCCATAGTGACTGAAATGCTCATGGATAATCCTGGAAACCTTCTGGAAAATTTTGCTTTTCTGCTCCACAGTTTTTTTTTACTTTTTCCCCTCTGCTGACACATTCTTTCTTTACATGCACTTAAGTCCCTATTTTGAGTTTGTTGTTGTTTCTAAGACAACCACAGGAAAGAAGTTTTATCTTTCCTTTATGTGTTGATTTAAAAGAATTTAAGTTTCCCTTATTTCAAGTTTTAAATGAGGTAATATGTGTAAAACCGTCTGTATGGGAACCAGTAAGGTGTGGAGTTATGAGCATGAACTCTGGAGTTGGACAGACCTGGAGCTGAGTCTGGACTCTATGGCTTCCTTCTGGTAGAACTGTCATCCAGTCACCTACCAACTCTCATTACCCCAAGTTCTTCATCTGTTAGAATGAAAATAAGGACCAAATCATCCTCACAAAGTTTTGTGAGGATTAAGTTGCATAATGTATGTAAAGTGTCTGGTGCATCGTGTGAGTCAGTACCTGTAATGCTGTTGGCATTACTATCATTATTTTATCATAACAACATAACTGGATATTTGATACTTCTCTGTTTGAGAGAGGAAGAGAACTGTAAATTTAAAAACGTAATCATGCAAGTGAGGGTCTCTCATGATGCTAGAACATGGAAGGTGCTTAGTAAATGTTCCTTGAATTTGTAAGCTCAAAGTGTCTCCATACAGTGACCGTTGGACAGGAAACTTCATCATTCTCTAGATTTAACAGTCCCAAAATTCTTTGGCTTCTTGGTAAAGAAGACTGGTATCTGATGATCTCACTTCCTAAACTTTTGGGAATTTCAGATCTCTTTAAAAAGATAAGAGTCATGAGAATTTGTGAATTAAGTAATTGGACCTTAGGCTCTAACATCTGACCGACTCCAGATGACCCACTTTATCTGAATTGGTGCTTAGACCAATGGTTTCTTTTTCTCTCATTATCATTACTGAATATAAGGTTAAGAATGTTCTTTACTTTGCCCTGGGATTTTTTTCAGATTATCGATGTGTAAAAGAGAAGAGAATCTCTTATGACTAGATTATTTGGACAAGTTTTATTGTCCCACAAGCTTTTACTAGAGTGTCCAGAAATAATTATCAGTTGACATAATAGTTGTGAATCTGTTACCTTAACAAAGCTTGTAGTAGATAAAAATACATGATTTCTACAGCAATGGCAAACACAAGGTTGATTTAGTGTCAGAATAGCTCACTTTGGTCAGTTCAATAGTACTTAAGGAGTAGCCACCTGATACTGAGCACATGTATGGGACTGTTGATAAAGAGCTAACTGATACATAGTTCTTATACAAGGATAAACCCACAGTCTAAAGAGGAAATAAAGCAATAAACCCATGACTTAGTATAAGGGCTCTAATAGGGTTTATAAGATATATAAAGGAGGCCATAAAACGTTGGGATTCAGCCTGCCTGGTGTTTAACAGATTTTGTTGTTTACTTGCTTAAATCTGTATCTTCATCCAGCATCACCCATAACCACCATCTGCCTTACAGACAGAGCACCAATTTTATTTGGGTGTTTACCTCCACATAGTCATGTGCTCAGGGAAGGAGACCTTCCCAGCCCCAGAAGGTTACTCTTGGCTATATCTACACCATGGTGATTTCAGCCTCTTTTTTTGACAGTGATTGATTTAGATGTCATGATGGCTACTTTTATGTGTCAACTTGGCTGACCCACAGTACCCAGATATCTGATCAAACATTATTCTAGACGTTTCTGTGAAGATATTTTTAAAATGAGATTAGCATTTATACTGGTAGACTCTGAGTAAAGCAGATTACTCTCCATATTGTTGGTGGGCCTCATGCAATCAGTTGTGGGCCTTAAGAGAAAAAGGCTGAGGGAACTTGTGTTTCCAGAAGGTTTTGGCCTTCAGCTGCAACATCAACTGGGCCTCCAGGCTGCTGGCCTACCTTGAAAATTTCAGATTTGTCAGTCTCCATAATCATGTGAGCCCATTCCTTAAAATAAATTTCTCTCTCTGTAGACCTCACCCCCACACACACACACAAACACACACATTCTATTGGTTCTGTTTCTCTGGAACACCCTGACTAATACACTAACACAGATATGAACATATGATAAATAGTTCTCTCCATCACTTGTGAGGGGAGTCCACTGAAAAAACTTGGGAACAAAAGCCACACTAAAGATGGCAGAACAGAAAGTTGGAAAGAACCAAGATCTTTTATGGGCCACTTGAGTATTGAATCAACCATGGAACTGCCTCAGCAATTTTTTTCTTGAGATAAAAAAACATCTTTTTGTTGGAGCCACTTTGAGTCAGGCTTTCTGTTACTTGCTGCCCAAAAAATTCTTCAAGAGTCACATTTCTCAGTACAGAGCAGAAGGAAGGAAGGAAGTCTTGGGTCTTGACAATCTTTAGGATTATCCAAAGTGGATAAGGAGAAGAATGTGAGGATTATCAGGATAAACAACGTTGGCAAAGAGGAGTGAAAATTCACTGTGGGTTTTGGGAGTGCTGGGTACCTCTGAGTCTCTAAAAGGCAGGGTACACGATAAGATGTGATGAATGAGGAGACCGACAAGGTCATCAGGGGCCATGCTGTTAAATTCTTTGTGTTCCATGTTCAAGAGCTTAGGCACAGTTTTTTTGTTTGTTTTGTTTTGTTCTGTTTTTTAAATAGAGGGATTATAAGACATTTTTAAGCTCTGGAGTGACACAATCAAATGTAAATTTTAAAAAGCCAGCTATGAGCCAAATGGCCATGGACATGACAAAATTACACATATTTACAGTGCAGCTATTGATGAAAAAGACCAGAAGACTAGCGTAAAAGATATACAACTAAAGGTGTAAAGAAGGAACCACAACAGGACAGGTAAAAGGGGCAGAAAAGCAGTATAGTCGAGACCCATACACCCAGGTTGGCCATCCACAAATGGGAGGATAATTATAGTTGCCAGGAGCATGGGATCCAAGCCCCACACTGGGCTCCCCAGACTGGGGGTTCTACACCATAAAGATGAGCCCCCAGAATGTTTGGCTTTGAAAGCATCAGGGCTTACTTTTGAGAGAGTCAGAGGACTGTGGGAAATAGAGACTCCACTCTTAAAAGGCCCACACAAAATCTCACACACTCCAGGACTCAGGAAAGAAGCAGTAATTTGAAAGGATTCTGGGTCATACCTACTTGCTGATCTTAGAGAGTCTTCTGGAGAGACAGAGGGTAACTGGAGCTCACCCTGGGAATATAGACACTGGTGGCAGTCATTTTGGGGATCTTGTTCTACCACAGTTACACTGATTCTGGCAAGCACTATTTTGGAGTCCTCTCTGTAGCTTATTAGTGCTGGAACTGGCCTCACCCGCCAACAGCGTGGCTGCCTTAAAGCCCCCTGAGCCCACAGCCATTCCAGAACCCAGCTTTTACATCAGAGGGCCCAGGACCCAGCATAAATAGCTCTGGACCAGCCTCACCATCCAGTGGACAGGCACCAACTCTGAGACCCCCTGGGCCCTGCAGCCAGAGACCCTGGGACCTGGATCAACCCACTA